TACTTGCTGTTTGTATTTATTTAGACCATAGAAATGATGTTAGACAAAAAGCAAATTCTAGCAATTTCCTTATTTGAGTTCAAAATGGTTCGTAAAGCAGTGGAGACAACTCTCAACATCAGCAGTGCATTTGGCCCAGGAACTGTAATGAACATACAGCACGGTGGTGGTTCAAGGAGTTTTGGAAGGACACGAGAGCCTGAAGATGAGGAGTGCAGTGGCCGGCCGTGGGAAATCGACAGTGGTTAGCTGAGACCACTGTGAGAGCTGATCCTCTTACGGCTACACAGGAAGTCGCCAGAGAACTCGACATTGACCATTCTATGGTCATTTGGCATTTGAAGCAAATTGGAAAGGTGAAAAGGCTCGATAGTGGGTGTCTCAGGAGCTGATTGAAAATGAAAAAAATCGTAGTTTTGAAATGTCATCATCTCTAAACCTGTGCATCAACAGTGAACCATTTCTCAATCTGATTGTGACTTGTGATGAAAGGTGGATTTTATACAACAACCGGCAATGACCAGCTTAGTGGTTAGACCGAGAAGAAGCTCCAAAACGCTTTGCAAAGCCAATCTTGCATCAGAAAAAGTGGTGGTTACTGTTGGGTGGTCTGTGCTGATCTGATCCACTACAGCTTTCTGAATCCAGCGAAAACATTATGTCTGAGAAGTATACTCAGCGAATCGATGAGATGCACCAAAAACTGCAACGCATGCAGCTGGCATTGGTCAACAGAAAAGGCCCAATTCTTCTCCACAATACCTGACCACATGTCATGCAACCAGTGCTTCACAAGTTGAATGAATGGGACTAGGAAGTCTTGCCTCGTGCCATATTCACCTGACCTCTCTCCAACCAACTGCCACTTCTTCGTGTCTTGACAACTTTTTGCAGGGAAAACTCTCCCACAACCAGCGAGAGGCAGAAAATGCTTTCCAGGAGCTAGTCGAATCCCAAAGCAGGGATATTTATGCAACAGGAATAAGCAAACTGATTTCTTGTTGGCAAAAATGTGTTGATTGAAATGGTTCCTATTTTGATTAATAAAGATGTGTTTGAGCCTGGTTATACTGATTTAAAATTCATGGTCCGAAACCATAATTACATTTGCACCGACCAGATAACTTTTTAAAAGGTCCATTCAAAATGGAGGAACACTCCTTTCAAAAGTGTTAGAAGTGTTAGTCATTCAGTTGTGTCCGACTCTTTTTGACCCTCTGTACTGGGGCCCACCAGGCTCCTCTGTGGAATTTCCCAGGCAAGAATGCTGGAGTGCATTGCCATTTCCTTCTCTGGGGGATCTCTTCAGCGCAGGGATTGAACCTGGGTCTCCCACATTGCAGGCAGATTCTTTTATCGTCTGAACCACCAGGGAAGGCTCACTGTTCAAGTTCTTGAAATATTTGTGATGCGTTGCATCAGCTCCAAGTACGGATAGCTACCCAAGCAGTTTCATCTTGAACCTGACTGTTGCCTTGTTGAGTAATGAGGATACATACATGTTTTTAGGCAGGAACTTCAAACAGATGATGTGGCCCAACTCTGTCATGTAAGGAGTGACCCCTGTATTTTCTTCCCAAGCATATTCAGGAAGTGGTTTTAATTGGCCTACTGAACTCATTTGGAGTCTAATGGGCCCACTGAGAGCTCTCTTAACCCACTGAGAGCTTAGCAGACCTGGAGCTCACTCAAGTCACTGGGCACTTTGGGAGTACAGTTTTAAGTTAGAAGCCCTGGTGTACTTGGCTGGGATCACCTCTTGCATGTAATTCTCATTCTGCAGTGGCCTTAGGGTGAACTTCATTCTCACTCCAGGGATGGAGTGTGTAATACAACCAGCAAGATTTTTTTTTTTCTTTTCAGGCTCATGTAAATTAAAAGCACCACTGAACTGGGAGATGGATGTGAGGGGAAGCCGGGGCTTGAAGGAAAATAAAATACGATGTTGCTCTGCTTTTCTAATTAAGAGAAAGCATACAACTCTAGGTAATAAATGTACACATGTATTCCGGCTCTCTATGAAGCAGAGACTCACTAATTAACAGTCCCGCCTGGGGGACTTTCTAAAGGTTATTAGCAGAAAGAGTCTTCAGAGTTATTTTTTTCCTACCACTGGGTATAAATGGGCTCTCTCTTAAACTGAGTTCTCACTGTGGGAAAGTTAAATTCAGGGCAGCCTAGCTGAGCACCAGGCGCTCTTTACCTCTGCTGTATCATTGGAGCCGCGTGAACTAAGAAAATAAGCTTTGGCTTCTCTGTCCCCTGCTCCACGATTTAGATGTATTCTTCTTTCTGCCAGAAACAGTGCGTGTCCCTCTGCCTTCTCTCAGGCTTTTGAGTCCTTTTTTTTCTGATACTTCTCCCTTCCCTGCCCTCCACACAGTCTGATCCAGAAAAGCTCCATCAAGTGGGGGAAATGCAGTTTTTTTTCTTGTCTCAGGTTTTCGGGTTTTATAAGACAAAACGATTGATTTCCGCATATATCTTAAGGCTTTGCTAGAGACTTAAAATTCAGTTTTACACCTTCAGGGGTAAAAGGAAATAATTGTCTTCCCTTTATCCCATAAAGTTAAGATCTGTTAGAGTAACTTTGCAGACTTTTTGAATTGGTCCCATAGAAATGCTTTGTTTTGTGACGTGTACATACTGAATATACTTGTGCATTGTTGAAAAAAGTCTCACAGAACCAGTGTCCTTATCGCGTTGCACTGTTTGATATTATGCTGGTTCGCTGCTGGCCCATCCGTGGATGGTTACATATTCCCTGAAGCCCCCGTCCCCCAACTGCCAAGACGGGTCTGAGAAGACAGCAGGTAGGAACGAGTGCACCTCTGAAAGAGATATGTTTTGTTTTCACCTTTAATGACAGTTGTTTGGAAGGTTTTATGTGTATTAAAATAACTTACAAAATGCATTCACCTGGATTCCCAGGTTCTCTGTAGGTTCTTAGTCTAAAAACATCATCAACCTGCTGTCTGCTAGTGATTGAGCTGAAATATGAAATAGTTCAGAGGTTCTTAAGCTGCTACATTAAATGAGACTAACAGCCCTCCTAAAATCTTACTGACATTATCATTGTATTTTTTAAGTCTCAGTCTGAGAGCTAGAAAAAACTGAAGACCTTGCTCTCTTGATGCAGCGCTCTTTATCTTTAGTTCTCTGCATGGCTGCATTTTGTCCTCAAAAGAAGTATTTTTTTGTAGAAGCTGTAGGAAATATTTTTTTAAAGTAGGTCTAAATGCTAAATATTTTGGCATGTCCTTCCAGAATATTTTTGGTGTACTTATGTGTATACATAAATACTTTGAAAACCAGCAGACCTACTGTACATTATTCTGTAACCTATAAAAACGATGTTAAAGATCTCTTTCTTCCTCAGTATATGTAAGTCTCCATCATCACTGTTAACCAGCTTCATCATTAATAGTTCCATCGTTATGGATTACAATTCATGTATTACATTTTTACGTTACTTTGTGGTTTCATCAGTTGTCTCTAGTTTTAGACATTTAGGTTGTTTCCATTTTTAGCTAGTATAAACAAGGCCACACTAAAGATTTTCATACATGTCTTTAAAACTCTGAGTTACAGGATACTTAGAACAGCCTAGAAGTTGAAGGTGTTTGTCCCCTCCCTCCCCTTTTTAAGAGCATTTGTACAGCCATCTTCTGTTTATTTAAAGGCATGTCCATATTTTCTCACAGTAGTGTCACCGTTGCTATTACAGTATGAAATAAAGATAAAATATAAACTTGACTTACTAGAAACATTCTAGTTGTATCTCGACTTATAGATTCGAGCTCTGGCCTTAACTTTCAGACAGTGCTTGTGACGAGAAACGGTAAAGAGCACTGAGGACACAGAATGCTCTTGGTGGTGGCTTCTTCCCTCGGGCGGTGGCCTGCCCGTCACCTGCCCAGCCAGGCCGGGGATGCTGGCGGCAGTTCTAGCTGATTCTACACTGGGTCATGGGAGACTTTCATGGAACACTGTTTTTCTGTTTGAATTGGCTTTGACTTCTTAGGTCTTCAAGTAAATGTACAGTAATTGCTACTGCTGCTAACCCTACCATCTGATCTTATTCAGCCTCTTAAAATGCTTCCATGAGTTTGTTTTTGTAGAAAGATGGGATACGTTGTCTCCTACTGCCTCTGGGCAATGGGCTCCATGACCTGTTAGTATAAGTCCCTGCAAATGATTTGTGGACCATGATATTTCTTGGTTTAAGAATGGACATTCGTGAAACATGGCTTTCTTTGCCATTTCAGTTTATATATATATTGTTAGGTGTAATTTTTTTATCAGAAAGTGAATAGAACTAGCTTTTTAAAAATCACATTTAAATTATCTGGAAGCATGTATGTGTTTATTTTTATAATGAAAACACACTGCAAAAAGTTGTAGGAAAGGGTAGAAAAAAATCTCCAACTATAATTCCTCCATCTAACATAATTATTGTGATCTGTTTCTTTCTGGTCTTTTTCCTAATCTATGGATTTCACACGATGGAAGGCAGACATTTCAAAACCAATGTTTTTGTCTAAGGGAATATAAATTTAGATGTGTCCCCCCAAGAAAATTCTACACAAGAGCATTGACCTCCAGAATTGTTTCTCCTCATGCATTGATTCTTTCTGGCACAGTGTCGTGTTGAGATATAAGTGGAAAAGGGCGCTGCTGACCGAGTTATTGGAGCTTTTGCTTAATTGTGCTTGCTCAGTTGTGTCCTGTGCTGATTCTTTGCGACCCCGTGGATTGGAGCCTGCCAGGCCCTTCTGTCCACGGGATTTCCTGGGCAAGAATACTGGAATGGGTTGCCATTTCCTCCTCCAGGAGAGCTTCCTGACCCAGGGATCAAACCCAGGTCTGCTGCATCAGCAGGTGGGTTGTTAACCGTCTGAAGCACCTGGAAAGCCCAGGGTTATCTGCGGTTAAACCCCAGTAGAGCTGCTGAGACCCCCGCAGCCTGACGGTGACACGCCTCTCTTTCCTTGTTGCAGTCTTCGAGCAGCGACAGCGGCGGCAGCAGCAGCAGCATCAACAGCCCCGACAGGGCCAGCGGGCCGGAGAGCAGCTTGCACCACCTCGCCGCCGGGTCCAGCCCCCACACCCCGCAGCCCGCGCCCGAGCCGTCCGCGCTGTGCCCAGGCCCCTACTTCCACATCAACCAGACCCTGAAGGAGGCCCACTTCCACAGCCTGCAGCACCGGGGCCGGCCTCCCTCGTGACGCGCCGGCAGACTCTTGCCTTCTGTGAAGGGACAGCGCTGTGCGGATTTGATATTTCAAGTTAACGATGTTTTAAAACAAATTGCACAAAAAAATGCCTGTTGGCTTTTCAGTCTATATTTGAGATAACAGGTTAACAGGCTGTTGTTTACTTGTGGTTTTGCTGCACTATTGCGATTTCCAAGGGGCTTTGAAGCAGTTTTTTATAGGATTCTTTTAAGGGTGGGTATCAAGGGAACCATAGGAGGACACATCATCTGTGTGTTGAACCCATAGTTTGTCCAGTTTAGACTGCTTTCCAGGTCTGTCAGTTAGAAATTCTACTTTACGTAAAAAGGCCTTTTAAAACTGCAGGATCTTCAATTTTTTAAATAAACTAGTAAAGAGGATCTACTTTCCATGAAAAAAAAAAAAAAAAGATTTTTTTTCCAGAACCTAGAAAGCTGGACCAGCCTTGCACTGACGTGAACTGCCATGCTACCTCTTAGAACGTGGACGTCCTGTTGAACGTGCTGTCTTCTCTGACAGGGGGACAGTCAGACCCCGGATAGACTGTGTGAGTCAGCTCCCGCCCCGTAACTGTCTTCTCTCTGCTATATATTTGTATTTCCAGAGAGAAGGGCTTTCTGATTCATGGACCCCGGATAGCTGTTAACTGTCATTCCTCCAGAGCTGCCGTCTGACTTAGGAAACACTGCTCGGCTCGGACAGTCACGGAACATGGAGGTGACTGCCGGTCTCAGGCACCACCTGTCCCACCGCAGCTGGTGTGAGCTCCCCGGCTCGTTCCGCCTCGCCGTGTGAGAAGGTGCTAGTGAAGGCTGACGCAGTTAAGCTCTAGGGACTGTGGTCTGAAGTCACATGTGCTGTGAACTCTGGGACAAGAACTTTACTTGCTTTATGCTCAACGTCATTCCTGCGCCCAACAGGAATGAGGGGGCTGCGTGCCACCACAGCCCTCGCAGAGACTGGTGTGGCTCAGAAACAAAGGAGCAGAGTCACTTCTAGGAGAAACAACACAGGAGTATTTATTTAGAGAGACGGAGCGTCCTCGTCACTTGGTCATGCTGGAGAGCCACCCGAGTTTGAACAGCGAGGGTGCGGCCGAGTCTTCCTCATCAGCGACCAGCTGCCTGAACAGGGAGCCGGCCTGCCTGGGGTCGTCTGCTCGGGAGAGCGCCGGGGGCGCCGCCTGCCGCTGTGGAGAGGAAAGTGCCTTAGCGTCCACCTGGACCCCCGGCCGCCCGCCCCCCACTCCGCTCGGGGGTCCATGCGGTGGACACACGGCGGGTCTGAGCAGCACGGCCAGCTCCTGGAGGGGACTGCTTAGTCCAGATGGAAAAGGACACGCAGCAGACTGCGGGGCCGTGACAGGACAGCCGACACCAGGACCGAGGACGGAGGAAGGGCAACGTGTGCCTCCTCTCCATGGCGTGTTCCTCTTGGGTGCAGAGCTGAAAGGGCAGTTACTGGAAGGACAAGTGGACAGCTGTGGGGAAAGCTAAGAGCACAGGCCCGGGTTCAGGAGTGGGAGGCTTGCGCACAAACTTTTTTTTCCCCGCCCTACTCCCATCTCCCAAGTTTTGAAACCTGGTGTTGATTGAGGATTTTAGATCTGACTGGGTTTGATGGCAGGGAATATGGAAAGGAGACATTGCGAGTACTTTTATCCAACCAGAGAGCAAACGAGGACTACACGCTGGAAGGAAGGGAGCCGTGTGAGCTCTCAGACACACTTGTACACAACACACTTCAGAGACCCCCGGAGGACTCCCGCAGCTATCCTAGCAGATGGCAGCCTACTGAGACAAAAGATCTATTAATAAGAACAGGTGAAGCTTGAGGAAGCAAACTTCCTACCCGCCTAAAAGAAACGAGAGACGAAACCATCGCTGAAACAGCAGTTTTTTTTTTCCCAAGTAAGTATAGTCGTAGTGCTGGGTTAGCAGTTAACTCTTCTACCCTCTTAATCTTAAACACAAGCTGTAATCTCGGTCCGTCCTGCACATTTTCTACAGCCTTGGCAGCCTGAGATTCATTTCTACCATGAGGCTACTTGATAGTGTCAGTGGGCATCTTTTAAAACCTCTCTTAGCTCAAGCTAGTAACATCGTGTATTTCTTTATTGCGCCGCCATTAAAAGCAGCATTAGTGCATCTTGTCACTCGGTCCTCCATCGGTTATTTGAGGCGGGGCGGAGGTGGCTTGGTGGGAGGCGGGGTGGGGTCCCTGGGGAGGAACTCTGGGTTGGACACTCACCTGGGCTGTGGTCTCCATGCTTCCGCCTGCTGACTTGGCCTTTCGTGTGCTTGTCATGCTCAGTGGAAGAAGCCCAAACCTGCCAGACAAGACGAAGGCGGCTCAGCGGAGAGGCCGGGGAGCTGGGGGCCCAGCAGGGGCCACTTGACGTCCTTACCTGATCTGGCTCGACGCCAGCGGCAGGATGTTGTGGGCTTCTTGGGAGTTGAATGTACTGCTCCTGGGGGTGAACTGGTTCTCCGAACCCGTCACCAGTCCAAAGAGAACCTGTGGGACGAGAGATGGGACACGGTGACGGGCTGTGTGCTGCGTGGTACAGTTAAGAGAAAACCTGCTCCTGTCAGTCACCGGTCACTGCTTTGGGGGCATCCTTTGGGGGCATGTTCTCTTGCGTGTGTTAATACTGCACAATTACATATCCCTGCCTGAAGGTCAGAATCTCAGAGTCAAGTAGCTCTGATCTGCTCCTCTTTCTGAAGCCCCGATAAAACCTTAACAGTCCTTACCTACAACTAAAGGGTCATCCCAGGTTGCTTGGGCTGTGAGGTTTGAGGTTCAATCTAAAACTCTTTCCACCCCTGTAACTCAATTCAGGTGTGTCTCATCTGCCCGCCCCCACCCCGGTTAGGTGCTGGGCAGGCCTGTGCTGTGACCTGAGCCCCTGGCCCTTCGTGCAGAGCGGGCGTGTTCTCCCGGGACTTACGGAGGTCCGCTGCACCAGGCGGTTGAGGTTGCTCTGCAGGTGGGGGGTGAAAACGTCCAGGTCAAATGGGTCGATGAGCGTCTCCAGGTAGTCGGCCACTTTCTCAACTCTAACAAAAGGATGAAGATGGTCATTCTCCATCTGGGAGAATCTAGGACAGAAACCAAGCCCAGTGTGCTGCAATGCTGGAGAAGTCCTGGAACGGGCGGGTCTGTTCTCCACAACTGCCACCTCAGCACCCCTTGTCACTGACCACTGTGCTTAAATAATCCTTAGGATTTTTAACCCGGTAGGATGTCTTCTAAATCAAGTACAGAAATTCCCCATATTGTTTCCAGGGAGGGCACCGGATGCTCAAATTACACCTAACAGTTGGTAGGCGGACTCAGAGAGGGACGAGACCTGACCTACTACACGACCGTGGAATCAATCCAGGGGGTGGCCATTCTTTATCTTGCTGGTAACATGAGCCTGAGTTGCGTTGAGAACACACACAGGGAATGGGCAGGAAAAGGCTGACTCCTGCGGCTTCCCAGAAAGGGGCCGTGCAGGTCAGGGAGAGACGTGCTGGGAGGGTGGGCACGGCTACCTGGAGTCCTGTCTGCAGCGGCCGCTTTTCATCTCTTCACCCTTGGCTGTCAGGACAACACTGAGGTAACGCAGATCGTAGAGCAGCTGCAGTGCCCGATTCTGGGTCACTGGAAAGGCACCTTCTTTCTGCAAATGAATTTCCCATCCCCACCCATTAAGGGAGATGGCCTGTCAGGTGAGAATAAACAGCTTCGTGTTTTGTCTGCGTTTCAGCTGGTTATTTCGGAAGTCTTTTATATTCAGAAGGCCAGTTTCATCTCATGACAACAACAAAAACAAGTTATAGTAGATACTTGGTCTTGAACAAAATTAAAAACCTCGAATGGCAGGGAGGAGAGCCAGTCCTTAGAAAAAGGTTTCAGGTGCTGTAGATAGTCATTTTAAAGGATAAAAGGCCTCCTGGCATGAAGAGGGAGGCCTTTTGAGGACGCTCAGGAGAGAAGACTTATCTGAACTCTTTCTCAAGTCAGGAGCTGGTCCATCTCAGAAACACGGTTGATGAAATGGGAGTAAGCATCAGAATCGGGGAGCTCACAGCAGGCAACGGGAGGAGGGCTGGGCGATGGCGCTCCCTGACCCAGCGGGCGCTGCTGCTCTTGCCCACCCCCCCACCTCCGCTCCCCAGCGCCCCATCTACATGCCCACACTGTGTCCTGCGCAAACCGGTTAATGATCTGCCCAGAGCCCGCGCTGACCACGTGACGCAGCTGGGCTTGGACAGCAGGTCTCTCTACTTTGAACCTTTCATCCCTGCTGCTTGATGGAACCTGCTTGGCCCTGGGAGTGGGTGTGATTCAACTCCCGCAGGCGGAAGCCACTGTCCATTAGACTGCCCAGGGCGAGTAGACCTTAACACCTGGAATCCTGGATGAGGGCTGCCCAAACCCAAGAGAAACCTTTTTTTTTTTAAACCTACAGTTTTTATTTCTGTTCTTAATGGGGAGAAATTCACAGGCTTACCTTCACCTGTTTTTCTTCTGAGAGTTTCTCATAGGCGGCAACTACTTGAAGCAGGCAGCTTCTCAGCATCTCCTGCAGTGTAACCTTTGGCAAGGCATGGCCTCCAACCCGGTTAACTTCCTGGCACAAGCTGAACAGGAAGGACTGCACGTACCAGGACGGCTAGAAGGACAAAGGCATGTTGAGTTGCCAACTTGCACCGGCTAGACAAGATGCACAGAGTGGGCTCAAGAAGCCTAACAAGGCTTCCACTCTGGGACTCTGGCCTGGTCAGTCCACCCCCTCAGAGCAGACCAGTGGACAGATACGAGTGATGTCTGCCCCAGTCCCCTGGTGGCCTGGGCTCGACCTGGCACACGGCTTTCCGCTGCTGCGTCCACTGCAGGGTAAGCTGTTCTCTAACTAGCACAGCCTGTGCTACGACAGGAAAGCAGCGTGAATGGGCTTCGCAAACAGTCTATGTGCTTGGCCGTCCGCCCACTTTGCCCCCACAGGAGAAAGGCACGCACACTATCAGCTCTTCCTCAGGAGCTGCATTTTGAGGGATCTTTTCTAAAGTCTCTCCTTGCCACAGAGCAGGGTTTCTTTCCCCTTTTTGGTTCACAGGCCCCTCATGGTGGACCCTGCTCACCTGAACAGGGAGTCGGATCTTGGACGTGACGCTGCTGCCAGACTCTGCTTCCTCCTGGATTTCCAGTTCATCCCAGCTGGTGGCCGTGGCCAGGACGGAGCCAGCATCGTCTACGAGTAATGACTGGGTGAATCCATGAGCCAGAACCTGGTGATAAAACCCAAATATCCACACAGACCACTCAGGGCCTCTGTAGAGTTTGCGTCAAACTACCTGAGTGGCCGTGAGGCCAGCTTCCGCCGCACAGACTGCCTGTGGATGGCAAGTGGCCGAG